ATGTACATTCAAAGTTTGAAAGATGAAATTTACAGTCATAGCAACTTATAGAGATGGAAGTGTGCAATGAAGAAAAATTATATAGAATAAATATACAGGTATATACAATAACATAAGTCAACAGTTTAATTGAAAATAAAGCTGTATTTGAATTTTTTTGGAAGGCAGCTCAGGTCCAAATTTTGTAGTGTATTACAAGTGTGAATAATATTTATTTTCCAATATATTATAATTATGAGCTGATGATAAATAACATAAATACTGTAGATTCTATATGTGTCAGAAGTATTATCATTAAAAATAGACAAATTTTGTTTTGCTTTTAAACTGTTTTTGTAAAAGAACTTATTTCTCTCTTTTAGGTTTGGTGTTATGTGATGTTGAATGTTGTAACCATTCCAGTTACCAACATTTGAATTATTTGAGACATTTATATTAATGGAAGAAAAAAAAAAAAACAGTATGAGAAGATGCTTTTGAAATTTACACATAGACTTACAAACTCATAAGACAAAATATTGTGAATAAAATCATGACACACAATCCCTATTATATAAAACTAAAGCTGCATTATATAAAATAAGACGAAAGATACAAATGAAAGTCGAGAGAAACTGACAATGCCATGATACAAGTATATAAGTATTTACATATGCCTGCACTAATTCGATGTACAGCAAATGATAGAATGCACTTTGTGTAAAACGTACACTTCCCACAAAAGTTGCCTTATTTTCAAACCAGAATGGCAAACATTAGGCTGTTTATTTTCTAGTTCAGCATACATATCTTTGTATCCCCATCCCCCAAAACATTGTCATTTATTTAACTTGCATTAATTCAAAAAGGTCTAACTGTGTATCGCCGCGATATAGCCCTTTTTGTGCTGATGCGGCGTGTAACAATCCCCTATCAATCAATCAATCTAACCGTATAATGTAAAAACGGTAGGTTGATTTCTCTCGTTGACCTTATAAGGTCAGAGTTTGATTTATTTTGTTATCTTATTATCTTACATAAATAAACATACTTAAAATGTTTGATTTAATATTTTATTGTATGAATGTATTGTGTCTTAATACACATTAAAAAAATCTATAAAATGTTTTGATTTGATTCAATTATTTATATATATATGTATGAATATGTCACTTTTAACTAGTATGTCTTCAAACATGTCTTTTTAAACAAAAATAGAAACATTGTACATATACCCCCCCCCTAAAAAAAGAAATAGAAAAACCAGTAAATATAATAAAAATAATAAGTATAGAAATGATACACTTATTTTTACTTTTGACACTTTAGCTTAAGCAAATGTAAATAAAAAAACCAATAAATGTATCAACTCTACGTACTATTTGATGGGAAAGATGGAATAAAGACTAAGCTAAGAACTATTCACTATTCAATAGAACAGACTAACTTAAGTACCAATAGACTAATCTAAGTACTATTCAGTACAAAATACGGTATATATACTAATTTAAGTACTATTTAGTAGAAAAGACGAGCTACTAATATAGAATAATCTAACATACTATTCAATAGCAAAGACGGGATATAGACTACTAGTAATCTAAGTATTATTCAATAGAATTGACAGTTTATAGACTATGCTAAGTACTATTCAATATCAAAGACAGGATATAGACCACGCTAAGTATTATTCAATAGAAAAGACAGGATATGGTCTATTGAATCATGACACACTATCGCACTCAACAAGCCATTTGCAACGAAACGGCGTGTTTGATACTCCAACGACACTTATCAAAGAGGAAGTATTGAACAATCATAGGTCTGTTTTATGTTCCCTTTGAACGGAGAACTGAACCTTTCTTCTCTGTACTGGATACCAAAATGACATAAGTGTTTTACAAACAACAATATTTTGCTGGGTTTACCAAATGCTCTATGAAACTTCTTTCGGAATTAATTATCATTTATTTTATCAGCAATAAAATCAGGGCTTCTAAGCTTCTTTGAAACTGTTAGCATGATTGCTTTGATAGAGGGTTGCTGCTTACAAGAAAGCTTTTAAGATAAAGGTTGGTTCCTGGTGGTAAAGTTGAGGTCGTCATCTCAAAAGTTTTACGGGCGCCATCATGAGTTGGTTATTAAATATCTGTGTCACTGAATGAGACTTAACAAAACACATGAGCAACACGGCGGATGCCAGAGCAACTTAGGTCAATCCCGGTTTTGGTGGGTTTCGTGCTTCAAATCTTTATTTTTTTGTATGAAGCGTTTTGTAGATTGTGGTTTGTCTTATCGTAATTTTTTGTATTTTGCCATGATTTTGAAGGTCTCTTGTAGACTTTATAAGTTCTGAAATCTCTCTTTTGTATCTTCCGCCTCTTTTTACCTGCGTCGCTAACGGGAAAAACAGGTCTAGTAACCACTTTACACCGTCCGTCATTCCGTCCGTCAAAAGGACTTTGGGTAGAATACTTTCGTCAACGTTTTCTAGGATTCTTTGAATTATTTTATATTTGGTCTGCCGCTTGAAAATGCTGAGTTGTAGCATGTAAGCAATTTTAACATCTGACGTACAGCCAATTCCTGTTTATCGATAATTTTAAATTCTACAACACTAATTGTACATGGAAAAGTTGGCTTCAATGATTTTATGGAATGATAAGTTATGCTTTAGTATACATGTTACCTCAATCAATTGCATACAGCGACGCAGGTCGAGACTCTGGTCGTCTTGTTTTCAAAAACACTTCGTCAAAGTTAGTCAACTGAGTTTTCTTAAAATATATTTATGCTCCATAAGATCTTCTTTCCAAAAAAGAACCACTTTTATGACTGTTCACACGATTAAATTTAGTCTGTCATTACATTTATTTGTAATAACATATCTTGTCAATCGTAAAAACTTATTAAATTACGAATTGTAAGCCATGTATCCATGTTTTCTTCAAAGAAATTTGTAATTCTAAAAATGTGTTGACTGCTACAAATTTGGGATAGACAGGATGGCTGTTTGTCGATTCGTCTGCCTTCCTCTCCTTTTTCCAACTCTGGTTTTCATGGTTCTTTTTTTCTTCTATAATCCTTTCCTTGTATGTTTTGTCTCAGATTTTTGCTGCTGTTTCTCCTGTCTTACGCTACTAGACTGAAATGTCTGATGATTTAAGTAAGTCTCAACACAAATGTATCAGTCATACAACTGATTGCGACGAGAGTGTATTTTTTCTCTCACTCAAACTCATTTGATAAATTTAATAACTTTTGTCGTTACCTTGATGATGTTGTTTTCTTTAAATATTCAATAATTCTCTTATCATACTGCTAAAATGTAACCAAGGGAATACCCTTTAGATAAATCTAATATAAACAGCAAAAATTGTCCTTTTTCTATATTTGTATATTTCAGTTTCACACGTGAAAATGTGTACACAAAATTACGTCAAAAGAGATGATTGTTCGATCTCTATTGTTAATTTTTCTTTTTTGGACCTTGGTGTTCCTTGGAACCCGCTTACTGCGAATATATATCCCAACTCGTTCAGCATGTCCTTGTCTGTAGTGACGTTTTAACTTTATACTTGTTTGGCTTTCTAACTATTTTGATCTTAGTGTCAATGATGAGTCTTATGTAGACGAAACGCGCGTCTGGCGAATCAAATAATTAGCCTGGTACCTTTGATAACTATTTGAATTTCAATGAACGAAATTTATGTATCAATGGTAAATTACTCAAGTCAAATGAAACAAGTTTCTGGTTATTATAAAATTATTGAAACGATGCATGCATATATATATTAAACTATGCCCTCTATGCAAGTTTAAAAAGAAACATTTTTAAGGAATCAACCAAAACAAAAAAAAACAAACCCGTTTTATTCTTTGATTGTAAATCGAAAACATTGCCTTCTGATCAACATTCGGGTGTTCGGGTGTTGGTGCCGAGGTTTACAGATCGTTATCTATTGATGAATAAAAAAAACACAGAATCTTTGAGCAAGTAAAATATAAGTGAAATGACAAAGCGAAGAATAATTGTTTTTATTTATATTTTCCATGCGTTCCCATTTGTTAATTAATAATTCAATAGCAGTACATTTCTGAAGATTTGGATATAATAGAAATTATATGTACAGGTGCTTTATAGTAAAACTAAGCCATTGAAATACATAAAACATATTCACCTTTTTATATTAGTATCATATGACTTTAAGTCAGGGATTGCGTTACCATAAATTACTTAAAACTTTTACTAGATTCTTTCGTATATACAAAAATTTGGTTTTGAAGTGTCACTGTAACTATAGAATCCTTTTCAAAAACGAAATATTACTTCCCAATGTTTACAGGACGTTGTTTATAATGTACGTAATTTCAAACACGATTCATGTAAACTTATTGATTCTTTGAATATCATTTTAACACTGTAGAAAGATGTGTTTATCGGCAATGACATTGGCTTTGTATTTGATAGACTTTTAAGAACCAGAAGCTCTCATCTCATATAAGTTTCAGACACCGGTTTTGAGCGAAATGTTTTGCTAGATGTAAATAGCATTTCACCAGCTATTAGAAGACTAACATAACTGCTTGGTTATATTATAAGTTACAGACTGTAGGGGGCAAAGACAACACATACCCTCAAATCTATAAAATAAAATCAGATTATCCTATAGCACATCAAGATATTTGTTGGATAACTTGACAGGAAATAACGTATGAACAGGGGGAAATTAAAAATACCAGGATAGACTGCATAGATATGACAAATTCGATACACATTCATTGTCCCTTCGGTATCTTTCGCCAGTTTTTTTTATTTCCAACTTTTCACGATTAGTGTATTTAATGGTTAAATCGGCTAAGAAAATGTTAGCAGATAGGTTCCAACTTAAAACGACAATTTTATTTATGATGTTTAAGAATTTTCAGTCAGTTTTCACATTTTTAAGCATTGTAAAATCAGTAATGTTAGTAGTAACAGAAAAGTTCAATAAATATATATAATTATATAACGACATCTCTTCTTTATAAATTTGAATTTAATTTAAAAAAACATTCACTTATGGATATGATACTGTTTATATGTGAAATGAAAGGTAATTAGAAGAAAGTATTCTATTTTTATTAATCCAAAGTCGTTTTTGTGTTAAGCTTATCATTTTTAATATCCTTCAAATCCAAATTTTTCTCATCCAAACCCAGGTTTTTGTCCAGATGCCTCGGCTTCCATATGCTGAAAAGAATTACAATATAAGCTCTTTTATAAAAGAATATTTTATATGATATAAACTTCAAATAAATTTCTGACATCAAATAATAAAATCACCTTATTAACAGAAATAAGATACACGCATTTTAATAAAATTGAGAATGGAATAGTTGTTCTTCAATTACCAAAAAACACGAAATTTGCGAAACAATTTTATATTGAGCGTGACAAAGTTCTTTCACAGAATTTATTTGAAAACAAATATTTTAAGACCCACATTTAAAAACTTAACTCACAGTAAAACTTTTACTTCTTGTTTTCATTCAATATTATAAAATATGTCTTCAAAACTTACATCAACTAAGTAAATCAAAAACTGGTGTGTGTCCCTAGGAGAAGAAATATCTGAAATACAAATAATAAATCTTCAGAAATATATTATGCATTTAATCATTTGATACAACGAATAACAAATTTCTCTCTATATATATTATACAAACAGGAGATCATTATACTAGTCTGAAGATTTGAGCACTAGTACATGACTGCTTAAAGTAAGTTTATCCAAAGGATCGATATCTATAAACATGATCACCGTAAGATGAGGATGTAATATCCATATTGTAATAAGTTTTCCACAGATACAGTCAAAACAGTATCTTTGTACCTTATACAAGAATTTAGTAAAGGTTTTAAGTAATCTAAAATAACGAAATCCCTGACTTAATAATTGACCAGTGATACATCGATTACATTTATTGACAGATAGAACGGCATTACAGACACGGACAGAGCGAACGCGATAGGATATATAAACACTTAAGATTGAACACATCTCCGTAAAAAGAGGAAAATAAGCAACATGAAACGATAAATCGTCCTTTTGTCGTAAATTTATGTAAATAGTTTCACGTGAGAAACTGATTTATCTTAATCTATAAAAGGACAGTTATTCCTGTGTATGTTTTATTTTCAGTAAGTTCCCTAGGGCGAACTTGTGAAGTATAATATTTACGAGTTTCTTGATATTTTAACGCAAACATATCATCAAGGTAACGGAAGTGTTGTTGATTTTTTCAATTTAATGGAACTAAGACGGATCTATACTGAGTCTGCTATTGACGGGTGCGATTTTCATTAATTAAACCGTTACGAAAGAGTATAGTTTATATGTAAAAGGTATCTTATTTTTTTCTATTAAGTAATTTTAATATTGAAACTACCAATGTCCCTGTAACTCTCACGAAGCATTACAATATAACACTTGCAACAAATCATTGGGAGGGGGGTCGGATTTCTGTCCCTATATACACCATACTTACCAGTGGCAACATAAATTTCCAGATCTTCATCCAGGTTGAGCTACCTTGCTGAACCTATCTAAGTATCTACTGATAATATGTTCTCATCCAAAATATGCATGAAATATATGCATCTAGAAGTTGTTAAATAAACAACTAACGTGTAAGATGACATATACTCTTCAGGCTATAATCGCCCAGAAATAAATGTGATGGATACAAGTCATATCATATGTTTTTTTTTATTCTTGATATAAAGTCATCTGATTTTATTAATAGCATACATTTTTTAATGAGAATTACGTACGCTCAACCAATGCTAGGACTTTACTGTATCCAATTTTATGGATAAATTCTGTGACGTTGTGATGTTGTGCAGCAACAAATAAGTCAACAATCAATTGTTTGTCCTGCTGATTCATAGAAGTATACAAATGTGTCTGCATAAGATTATTAATTTGTGACTGGAGATCTCGTGCCTGCAAAGAAAACAAAACATTATATATATGGAGCAAAAAAAGTTTACCTTGAAAAAAGGACAAAAGCACTATTGTAATTCAAAGTAGAATAAAACGACATACAACAGTTTACAAATTATACATTTAAAACTAGAGATTGACCTTCACGAACCTCACTACAAACCTCTTGTCATCCAAAAGGCTATGTCATTTGTTCTCAGCCTGGGACATCTGTAATTGCTTTGCTAACAAGTTAAATAAAGTTAGAGCTAAGTAATATTCGAAATCAAGTGGTAAACGGTATGGAGATAACAGGTCTGTGGCTTGGAAAAAGTAACGGACTATTGCATTGTACACTGCAACGGTCTTATTTGCACCGGCAAAATGCATTGACTGTATCAACGTTAGCTTTCGATAGTCACTTAGCCTTGCTTGAGTGTATTACCGGACGTCTTACATTTATCGTATTTGTCATGTGTACCAATTAACAATCTTATACACAATAGCAATCTTGCATGTACTGTAAGTAATCTCTATATACACATTTCAATTAATAAAATAAAAGTGATTTTGCATTTTAATGGCATAGGAGTTTGTTCAAATGTTGGAAATTATATTTATAGCCTGGTATGTTCGATGAGTTCGTTTTCAAGATTGGCAATATAACGCGAGAACAACTATTCATTGTCTTATTAGAAATATATGACAGCCATCATAGTCCATTGATGGTTTGGTCGTATATATAGTGCTACGAATGCTTAATCCCCTATACATCACTATTACTTTTCACAAAAGGGATGAAGAAATCAAGGGGCGATCAAAAGTCGAGAAATACAAGCGACCAAGACAGTACAAAATAAACGCCCAAAAAACCCAAAACAGAACAATTCACAAAAACTTAAAAGAAAACATTTATTTCAATAAAAACCAGGGCCGAATTAAGGAAATAAGTGATATCTTTACCTGGATAACACTGTCATGTGAATGATTTACTGCGGCAACTGTCTCTTGATTAAGTTCCTAAATTAAAATAACAATGTTGTCTTTACTTATTGGCAAATAATTGTGTGAAATATTTAGGTTCTGTGGTGCTACATTAATTTTCTAAATGGCAGCCACATCAGAAAATCGTAATTTCGGGGAATTGTTTTATAGTTTTATTTCTATACCCGTTCATGAAGCATGATTGCAGCCAAAAACTTGTATTTTCAGTCAGCGCTTCGCACTTTTGCATTTTCTGTAAATTTACTGTTTATAAAATGTTGAAATATTCAAAACACTAAGGTTTGTCAACAACGGGTAGGCATTGTTTTAGCCGTATTTAGCACAACTGTTCGGAATTTTCGGTTATTAATGCACTTCAACTTTGTTTTTGATTTGGCTTCGCCACTATTTTGATTCGAGCGCCTTGATGAGTCTTATATAGATATTATATAGCAAGAAAGAATTGTCACTGATCTGTTCGTTCTATCATGATAATGTTATCGCATGATTATCAGCGATCACTTTTATGAATGCCAGCAGTGAATAGTATGTGAAAAAAGTGTTATGAATGTGATTATATTTATATAAACCTGAATGAGGTAATGTTCCAGAAGATTTGCCTCCCTTTGGTCTATCTTCGTTACATCTGAAATTAAAATTTGTTTGAAGTAACATAGAGAAACATTTTGTTCTCATTAGATGAGCGTAATTACCTTGGAAACAAAACAATAATTTGTCTTTCCTTGTTTTTATTAAATATATTAATGTAAAAGAACGGTAAACACAGATTTTTTTATGTCACAAGTTTTGTGGAAAGGTTTGCATACAACTTTTACATGTTGAATTCTTATTGAAAATCGAGATATAGTTCATTTAACTGTTACACTAGCTAAAATATTAGTGAATGCAAAACCTTAAAACATTTAAATATTTGTAAAGAATGTACATAGAAAGTTATAAATAAAGGCAACAGTAGTATACCACTGTTCAAAAGTCATAAATCGATTGAGAGATAAAAAAATCCGGGTTACAAACTAAAACCGAGGGAAACACATCAACTATAAGAGGAAAACAACGAAATAACAGAACACAGAAGTGTAACAAAAACAAACAACAATGCAACATTCATAGAAACGAACTATTAAATAACAACTGCCATATTCCTGACTTGGTACAGGACATTTTAAGAAGAAATGGTGGATTGAAACTGGATTTGTGGCTAGCCAAACCTGCGCGTTATGGCAATGTTAAATATACCGCTAAAATGACAACATTACATGACGGGAACAGAGTACAAATAAATGCAAAAACACCCAAGACAGAGACATACATAAATAAATAATGTAATAGTACATTTCGACATGTTAACCACAGAATAACAACGAATAATCAAAATAATTTAGGACAGTACACAAAAAACAGCTTATTAGAATTACGAAGTGTGTGTCTGTAACATGAATGGATCAACGCCACAAAAAGTAACGTCACAGGTAAGTTTCTAAAAATTGGATATAAATCAAGATTAGGTTTCTAATTATGTTATTTGATGTATTTTATAACAATTACAAGAATATTAATATAGAATTGTGTTAGTAAAAGTGCAACTAACTATGTCGGCCTTTCTTCCAAATCAAACTGTGTAAAACAAATAAATCCTGTGCACATAGTTGCTTTAAACTAAAATTATACAAATGAACTGGGTGATTAATTATCTTTACTTTTACATACGAATAGAAAATAAAAGATAGAATCACAACTACTAACGATAAGACACATATCCGATCAGAATTACAAATAAAACTTCGTAACTAAATACATGAACGCTGGATAAACAAATACCGAGACACGTCTTATAGCAATGTGAATTGACATTCAGTAAAACAGTCATATTCGGGAATAGGTCACGTTCGGTACTTAAAAGACAAGACGACGTAAATAGTAAACCATAATCTAAGACGTGGAAAACATGTCCTTAGTTAGTTTAGACACAGATACATCGAATGGATCAACCAATTCGTGATGGTGTCCATAAAATTGTCATTTTTAATCTTTCCTCCTCATAACTTTGTTGGAGCAGTTTCTGCGTAAGGAGCACACTCCTGTATATGAAGTCCGTATATTGTGAACATGCACGAGCATAAAGTATCAACTGAGATATGTAAACACCATACGAGGGGGCAGAGGGTATGTTACTGCTGAGAAATGGGAAATTGATAATTGGGAAGTTGAAATCGTTCCGTTTGTCATAGATTTTAGTGTGAAGTCGTCCATCTGTGTCAATATTGAGGAAGCGATCAAGGTATGAAGCAGTCCTTCTAGTATCAATAGTATCCTTAATTTCAAGTTCACTGGGATATATGAGATGTAAGTACTGGCTGAAACATGGGTTATTCAGTGATAGGACATCATCAATATATCTGAAAGTAAAATTGAAGAATTTCGCAAGGTGCTTTTTCTTTTTGTCTTTTGGAAGGTTCTGAATGAATTCTGCTTCATACGATTACAAAAACAAATCGGCCAGTAGGGGTGCACAATTAGTACCCATTGGAATACCGACTGTCTATTGAAATATCAATCCTCCAATAAAATAAAGGCAACAGTAGTTTACCGCTGTTCGAAATTCATAAATCGATTGAGAAAAAAACAAATCCGGGTTACAAACTAAAACTGAGGGAAACACATCAAATATAAGAGGAGAACTACGACACAACAGAAACACAACATTAAAATGTACACACACAGAAACAAACTATAATATAACAATGGCCATTTTTCTGACTTGGTACAGGACATTTTAAGAAAAAAATGGTGGGTTGAACCTGGTTTTGTGGCTAGCCAAACCTCCCGCTTTTATGGCATTGTTAAATATAACATTAAAATGACAACATTACATGACAGGACTACAATACAAATAAATGGGAGAACATATAGGACAGAGAAACATACGAATAATAACTAACAAAAGGTACCAGGTATAAAATTTAATACGCAAGACGCGCGTTTCGTCCACACAAGACTAACCAGTGACGCTCAGATAAAAAAAAGTTCGAAAGCCAAAACAAGTACAAAGTTGAAAAGCATTGAGGACCAAAAGTTCCAAAAAGTTGTGCCTAATACGGCTAAGGTTTTCTGTCTGGGATAAGAACATCCTTATTATTTAGAATAATTCATACTTTTGCAAACAGTAAATTTATAAAAATGACTATATAATAGATATACATGATAACACGGAAGTGGTGACTAACTACAGAATAAAAACGGATACATAAAACAACATAAACCAGCACATAAAAATTCACAGCCGAGTTAGCCAAAGAGATCAACGCACAAAGTGACGTCACATTTAAAATTTCTAAAAATGTCCCCAAAATAGGATAGAATATGTCTATAAAACGGATTTTTTTTAGCAACAAGAAATAATTTTTTAAGATAATTTATGTATTGTTTTAAATATTTGATGTTTTTTTAATCTGTAGCATAATTCCAGAGATACAATAATTACAACATTGTGAAATTGATCTATAAATGTATATTATAGAATGTACGTAAAATGCGGCTAAAATATGCATTTGTGTACTTTAACTTGCAATGTCTGGAAAATCCTTCCACACAAGTTTAATTAAAAAGTACATTTTTTTGCTATTAACATATCCGTTGTTAACAATATGGAATAATTTGCCTTAAACTAATTTTTTTAAATGACATCCCTCTATTTCACTTAAAAATTGGTGTGATTTGATTTTGAATACGGATAATGTTGTTATTGATGTAGTTGTAATTTGTATCAACTGTACATTATTGTAATATTATATAATTAACTGTTATTTGTGTACTGATTTTTTTTTTATTATAGTATTACATCCTTTTATGTATCTTTTGTTATTCCACTGGTCCAGATTAAAATGAAGATGGTAGAGATCTACAAAAATACCGTATATTATCCTCTAGATATCTTTCGTTTTTTTTTGTATTTTGATGTGCTGTTTCATTAACGTATATCCCAGACCTTTTTTTTATTCATACTTAATTACATACGATCAAGAAACTGGGCAATTCGAGCGAAGCCAACTCTGTCAATTAAATGTGTGATTTGGTCAACCTCTGCTGCAGCCAACAATTCCACAAGTAGAACCCTCTCTGATGATGGCAGGGAATTGTAGGAATGCGATTTGTGCATTGCTTCTAAAATCTGGAGTAGATGATCGGTTGAAACTGACACTGTAGTTTTTAGCGTTTGTGCAAAAGTGCACATTACGATCGTCAAACCAATCAGTGCTATTACCCTGGAATATAAGTATTTATCTTACATCCTATAAATTTCTTGGAACATCATTGGTTAAAAGCGACCGCGTTCAGACTGTGTTTTGATATGGTGTTAGTAGGCGTGGTTTATTTTAATACACGGTTAGTAGTGGTGTTAAGTACGTCACTTTATAAAAACAATACGACACCTTGAGGAAAAATCTGAAACGTTTTGCCCGGCCAACAGGCGAAGAAATTGATGATAAACGATTGAAACAAATGCAGAAATTACATTAAAAGCTAATAAGTTGTTATTGTTGACATTTGTTTTTATATAGACCAATGGAAATAATTTCTTTATTTTGAAGACTTGATCACTTTGATAGGCAACTAGTCTAAATGCCACATGTTAAGATAGTCGGTAAGATGAATTCGTTACACAGTGTGCTAGTGACCAAATACGATATATATGGGGTCAGTAAATTCCATATGGGGTTCTTCGCTCTCACCCCATATGGAATTTACTGACTCCATATATATCGTATTAGGTCACTAGCACACTATGTAACTAATAGTATTGTGACTTCACTCTTACATGTCTTAACGACAAAAACACGGTGTGATATAGTCTATTATTACAAGTTTGAGAAAAACTTCCTGTTGAAATTGTAATATGATAGACAAAAATAAGAATTTCCAGATAAAAAATATACAAATTGGTATCAATATTTTGACAAGATATTTAGAAATAGAATGCACTCCACATATGTCAATCATAAACGATGCTATATTGAAAAAAATCAAATTTTACGAGAACAAGATGATAATTTTCAGATGGTCACTGCTACAGTATATTATTCCTACAAAGCAGTAACTATTAGAATGGAAAATTTCTAAAGATAGTAAATGTAATCTTTATAAAACATGTTATTTTAAGAAGATATCTAACTATTACTAAAAGTTATAAATCATTAGAATATGCGAATAAAAAAAATCAAGGGATTTAAAAATATTTAAGTAAGAACAAGCTATTTTCACTGTGCCAAGCTATATCCTTACCAATTTACGCAGAAACTAACTGCTTAAATCTAAATAATCATTTTGATAATTTGTATGAAAATATGAGATCGAATATGTTTAATGGGTTCATAGCCTCTCTTAAAAAAACATGTTTTAAAAATCTATGTGAGATAGATAATGAAAAAGGTAAACAGGAAAGTATCAACCAATAAAAATACTTCTTACAAAATTAAACAAATGTGTTGTCTCCATTTGACTGTTAAATTTTTATCAGATGGGGTAAAATATGAAATCGAAATCATTTGCCAAATTGTTCATCGAATTGTGTTTCATCATGTAATTTGATAAAAAATAATTTAAATTTAAATTACCTACGAGTTGGTCATTTCTATTGCTGATAGATTTCAGTCCACGATTATATACAATCCGTCAGTATTCAATCGAGCACTTGTTATGATTTATTGATATGATTTGCGGGCAAAGGGTTTAGTTTATAAAAAGGGTTTGCTACCTCTTCTCGCAAAATATATTCTGTTCTGTTTGCTGCTACTCATTTTGATACCAAAACTTTTAACTTGATCAAAAATATCCAGTTACATTGGTCGTGCGTACTGATATTATCGGTTCTTATATTATATTGTATAGACCTATTTTTGTTGAACTTCTATTTATATGATAAGTGGTCTCCTTGACTCTCTACCAGAATGTCACTTTCATTTATATTGACCAATTTATAACGCACTTCTTCAAGAGTACATTTATAGATGTCAGGTACAATATACATTAGTAATATATATCTAAGCTTAAAATCAGCGTAAACAAACTTTTGACCTAATGCATGTCAACCAACTTGAAGCATCTTACCGTTTGTTTTTCTTTTTTTTAATTTATTTAACTTTTTTTGTTCGCAGCGTTCTATTTTCAAATGGCTTTAAAACTCAGAACAGGCTGTCAAGTATTATACAACGACTTACATTGTAACGACAGAACATTGTAACTTTTAGATATAGAATATCGTCATTATTATATGAAGGTTATTTTAAAGGCATTAGTTGATGTGTTAACTCACTCAAAAACTTGATAAACTGAATGTCTTTAAACTATAAGTTTTTGAGTGAAAGACTGAGCTTATATATAAATGAACTCAACAAACATACAGAATGCGGCGGGCTTAAACATGTTTGCGGGCGTCAAATCCCCCTTTTAAACCTATATATATATATTTATATATAAATTGCCTAACAATGTAATTTTAACACATTGTTTAGTATGTAAATATTAAAATGTTAAAAATATTTACAATGCGATACAAAATCTACGCAATATTTTGCTAGACAAACTAGCTTCATCGAGCATGCATCTATCTAGGTGAAATCGGATGCAGATAAAAAAACTGTTGCTATCAATTAATTCAAAATTTGAATGATGTTCAAGATTTTTAATTGTTGAGGTAAAGGCAAGTTTGCCAAGTCCATTGGCCAATATTACAGAGATGTTAAGGACGATGCTACATAATAAATTATTCTTTATCTTTCCTGTATCTTTTCTCGTCTTTTTCATTTAGACCATCAGGTTCTAAAGTGTGGAATATATATATATAAAGAAAGCCCACTTTATGTTGAAATGACATTGAACTATTCGACATAATAAGTCCTTTGAAAGTATACACATATACAATGTAGTCATATATATTTCTCATTTCATACTATTCTAATATTTGAGTATGTGACATCTTTTATATGTAATAATGGAATACTTACTTCATGATGGTACCTCCTGATAGAATGAATTTAACCTAAATATTTTCTTATCATTTGACGATAAGACAATTTCATGATAATTTATGACCAGGGGTAATACTAACAATGTGTCCTTTACGATCACCCAACTGATAACTCAAATAACAAAGATAGAATATGAAAAGATAGGTCATTTACATGTAATAATACTTAATGCATTGTCATGCGTTACATTTTGTTTAATAAATATTGTTTTTGAGGATAAGGGTCGACGATGATGCTGAACCGATTTCATTTTTGATGTTTTTTTATTCTTCCAAAAACAAATTAATACATTATTCAGTTATCATTCAACCTTTTTTAATTCCATAAACAAATTACTTCATTATTCATCTATCATTCAGCTTTTCTTATTTCGTAGAGATCCGTTGAGTGCGCAATATGAAAATAGAGCACTAGTTGGAGTTTGTGCATCTTTATTGGATATGGTGCGTGTCTCTTATTGCTAATCCATTTAACTTTGTTTTCTGCAAAAAAAAACTAAACTACGTTGTTGCCTAATATGCCTTCGACTATGAAATATATGACAAGAAATGTAAAACTACATCAATCAATAAATAGTATAGAACTCGTTGATAGAACAGTGATAATACAAAGAAAGTTATCTTTATTTTTTGCATATTAAAATTAAATTCCAGCTATAAAGTAACTTATCAAAGATTTGAAATATCGAATAAAAAAAATATCAAAGAGTAACCAAACAACCCGTAACGCATAGGTGGAGCATCACTGTTTTTTGATAACGAGTTAACCAATTTAAGGAGGTACATGCATATTTTATATTTATAGTTTCAACAAGGATCAATTGCGCATGCAGCCTTTACTGTCAAATTGAATGAAGTAAGAATTTTACACGACTTATCTTGAAAGTCATGAATTACCGACGTAAAGTAAGGCTTTAAATAGAAAACGAGAATGGTAACCATTTCATTTATGATCACATTACATATGACATTCTCATGTAATTGGTTATTAATTAAGGATAATATTTGAAATATTTCCCGCTACCTATTTACACGTATCATCAATACAATGACGATATCAACTAGGAATTACACTTTTTGGTTAAACGAACGAAGGTTAAATATACTTTCCGTTAATGGAAATGACCGGCTACAGCGTAACGAGTCTTTTTTTATCATAAAATTGAGAATGGAAATGGGGAATATGTCAAACAGACAACAACCCGACCAAAGAGCAGACAACAGCCGAAGGCCACCAATGGGTCTTCAACGCAGCGAGAAAATCCCGCACCCGGAGGTGGTCCTCAGCTGGCCCCTAAATAAAATTGTGTACTGGTTCAGTGAAAATGGACGTCACACTAAACTCCAAAACATATAAAGGACCTAAAATTAAAAAAACATACAAGACTAACAAAGGCCAGAGGCTCCTGACTTGGGACAGGCGCAAAAATGCGGCGGGGTTAAACATGTTTTGTGAGATCTCATCCCTCCCCCTATACCTCTAGCTACTTCCATGTTTTAATTAGAATATACGAAGTGATGCGATTTTTTCAATATCAAGATTCATTCCTAAATATATAGTCAGACAAATGTATAATCGATACGAATAAATCAGCAATTTGACAGTATATGGCCCTCAAAAATTAATAAAAGTAATATATTTTACTAGATAATAGGACACTGTAAATACCCCCCCCCCCCCCCCCCCCCCCAAACAAAAAAGAAAAAAATCAACCAGTAATACAGATTGAAATAGTTACATTGAATAATATATATGTAGTATGCCAAAAACAAAAACAAAAAGATATTTTGATATTACTTGTGGAAGTTGCATTGTTTTTTTATACCAACTTCTTGGTATCTTTTGATCAATCTCCAGTCCCGTATGACCACGACTCCAATGGTCAGCTCTCAGTGATCAATTATATTATATCTATACTCTTAAGAACAAAGTAATTGGTTTGGTGTCAACTTTGTTCCTCGTGATATTCAAATGATGTATACTTAACGCTATCTCCAGAGAAAGTAAGCGGCAGATAAAATTAAATAACAATAGTTTGTTTAGTTATGTATATTAAATTCTATACTGGTCCACTTCAGAGAATGACCTTAATCAAATGTCCAGTTAGTAATCATCACCGTATCTGTCCACTTCTGGGGATATATCATACATCTAGATTGAATCAGATTATGTTAATAACTGAGTGTTTACAAGATCAACGTTTTCTATAACAATATTAGTATATATGTCATGAACAGCAATAGATTGGACTAATAATATTTTTCACAACACTTACGATTGATAGGACGTTTGGTTCATTGGTGCATTTTACAAAATAAACAAATACTACACACAAAGTCAATTAAATTTTAATCTTTATAATTATAACTGTATGGTGTTCCGATAAATCACATTTTTGTCTTTAGATCAAGTGTTACATATTTTTGTCTTTAGATCAAGTGTTACATATTTGAAATACTCGCATAATCTCCTAAAAGTCAGTGTTCATTCATTAAAGAAATTGACAACAGGTTGAAAACTAAGATTTACTCTTTTTTTGTGTATGTGTATATGTCTGATTTCGATTGTATTTCTGTGACTTTCTATCTTCAAAATAAATCAAATTAAACATGCATTTTCGAGAACGATTGGAGTTGGAACTTCACAATGAATCCAATAGGTATGTTCTGCAAAGTCGATCGACCGGGATGAATGTAACTGAATTTCGATAGTCATTTGAAAATGAATGTATAATGGATAGGGCAGACAATTTTCATTGCCACAGGTTACCTACTGGTCCTTCGATAAGTTGTCACAGGGTTCGTTTGCGCGAAGAAACCATGGCACTCTCCCTACATGAGGCCTCCGATCGGACGTTGCTGCGTATTCATACCTCCTCCACAGCATTAACGGAAGCTCCTCTTAGGTATGGGTTTTACTGCCGGATACAAGAAGTCAAGGGATGACAATATTTCTATACCCCACTCAACCCTTGATATATATGACTGACTCATCAATAACATTTATTTATTGATACCATACTCTTTAATTATCACCTACATGTAAATAAATTTGTTTATTCCATATTGATAGAACTTTAGTAGGTTTTTCCATATGAATTGAATGTTGAATAACACAGCATATTCACCTGCAGAAAAAGTATATTCATCGCGCAAAACGTCTCGTGCTTTTACGTGTTATGGTAAAATCGTTTGATGTTCAATTGGTTTTGGTAAATAATTGTCATTACATTCCATTTTCTCTCTCGGAATACGAAATAAAACAATGAGTTTCCTTGGTTCGATAAATATGTGGTTTTAATGACTTTTGAAAAACTGATATTCACTGCGGCCTTTGACCAAAGTGAATATCATTTTTAAAAAGTCAATAAAACCACAAATTTACCACATAAAAAAACGAACTGTTTGCTGTACTTCGGAGCAAATTTCATACAGCAATCTCATAAACAGCAGGACTCCATATTTACCCTGTTCAATACCAAGAGCTCATAATTGCAATACAGAAAAATAAAAGAAACATTAAAATACTTTATTTGATAGATCTGAATAGCCCTTTGACATGTTGTCCCGAGTGTACACATGCCTTTTACAATAAATTACATATGTGTACTCAGAAGACACGTATAGCATTGATTCTAAACTTTAAAGAGAATTATTCATTATTATTTATATGATAAATTGAATATTAGGAAATTTAAGACTGTTGCAATTATACTTATTGTATTTAAAATATTTACGTACAGTAGTTTAATACCTAGAAGGCAACTATGGCAATTATTAAAATTAAAAAAGAATTATTCATAATTATTTGTATGATACAGTGCCATTTCTGACAACAGAGTATTACAATCATAATGACTGATTTGAAAAAAAGCACAAACATTAATATCTAATATCAAAAGGAGAGCGAATAAATGTAATACTTTCTCTATGAGATTGAGGCCTTGATCAATTTTATAAAGCTAAAAAAATAGTTTATACGAAACGTTGAAAAACACACTTTTATGTATAATGTTTATGTGGTTCAAATCAATCCATTGCTATGACGCGGAATTAGGATAATAAATATCGAATTTAGCATATGCTTAAATCATTTTAGCATCTGCTATATTATAATTTAGCATATGCTATATTATAATTTAGTATATGCTAAAATGATTTTAGCATATGCTAAAAATTATTTTAGCATATGCTAAAATCATTTAGGGTATGCTTAATTCATTTTAGCATATGCTAAATTCAATTCAGCATATGCCGAATTATTAAGCTTATACAGAAATGTTGGCGTAGAATCAAGGTCATAATTATTCTACAAATCTATTTCAGCATAAGCTTAACGCATTTCAGCATAAGCTAAATTCATTGATCGTATATGCGAAGTTTAATATTTATGACCTTGATTCCGCGCCAACATTTCTGTATAAACTGAACATTACTGCATATGCTAAATTGATTTGAGCTTATGCTAAAATTAATTCAGCTAATGCTAAAATGAATTTAGCTTATGCTAAAATGAGTTTAGCTTATGCTAAAATCATTTCAGCATAAGCTTAAATGGATTTAGCCTATGCTAAAAGCGATAATTTTGACCCTAATTCCGCGCCATACATTGCTAACACTTATACTTGTAGTGGATAACACAATAAGAATAAGAATCATTTATTCAATGTTAAAGAAGATTTTGTAAACTCGTCGTTGATGGCCTTACGATGACCTATCGTTGCTAACTTCTATGTCATTTGGTCTCTGGTGGAGAGTCTTTTTTTATTGGCAATCATACCACATCGTCTTCAGTTCACCCAATACCTTTATTAATACAAACTGTCATACCACTTTCTTTATCTTCTATTTCTTGTTTAACCGTCTCGGCGGTCTCGTGGTAGCTTGCTTGCCTTGAGTGTGGGAATTCGTGGTTTGATCTCCATGCAGTATGGTCAAAGTAAGAACCTGCTAATTTGTATACGCTGCTTCCGCGCTAAGCACACGGTGGTAAGTAGTAAGAATAAAGACTGATCTTTTAAAAATCAGAATAATAATGTGTACG